TTCACATTTTCCCCGGTTTCATTATATTTTGAAACGATGGTTTCAATCATTTATTATGGTTTTTAACTTTGTTTAATATTATTATTTTGTTACTAAATGTCATAAAATGATTAAGAATACGTTTTGTATATCTTTCATTGAATTAAAACGAGAACTAACAGTATATCTAGAACTAAAAACGTTTCTGAAGAAGGCTAAATCCGAATGTTTCTAGTTCTTGGTCTAGTGTTAGTTCTAGTTTTATAATAGCACTGTTATTAGAACTAACACTAGACCAAGATTTTAGTTCTAGGTATAGTGTTAGTTCTAGTGACAGTGCTAGGTAGCGCTGGTTAGCACTAGATGTCGCTATGTTACATACCTTTATTGAACTAAAACTAGAACTAACACTAGACCTAGAACTAGAAACATTCCGAAACTTTCTAGTTCTAGGTCTAGTGTTAGTTCTAGTTTTAATTATTATTCATCGCTGACGTCACAAACGGGCCTTTGAGGTGTGCACCTGTTCCTGGGATGTAGCAGTCCTCTTAGATTTTACCATCCTTTGTATAAATATGAAGCCACGTAGATTGTCCGAATTTGTATGGATTAAAATTATTCATAAAACGAAGTTTTAGTTTTTCGAGCTTTTTCAGGTTTAGGTTCTTCAGAGTCTGTAAAGTGCAAATTAAAAATTAGTCCGTTATATCGAGATTTTACTGTAATTTCCCTTGCAAATTAGTACACAGTTATAAAGACGAGTAAACCACAATTAATAATAATAAGTTATAATACTCTTTATGTGAGACTGGGAATGAAGATGTTCAATTATTTCTTATTGAATGGCGAGTAAACTGTAATTATAATAAATTGTAGAAGAACAGTTGGAAACTTCTCATGATTTTTTTTCTTATAATAATCACTTGAATGAAAGAAGTCGAAAACACGATGTGTTAACTCAATGTTCCCATTTTAATCGAAACCAAATTGATTTTTGCAATTACCACATCAAATCGAACCAAATATTTACATTCCACTCCTCCGAGGGAACAATTAAGATCTCTTATCTAACTGATTCCTAGTGACTGTCGTCGTTCAGTCAATTAGAATTGCAAACACATCCGTGCCGTACGCAAATCAATATTTAAACGGCCCCAAGGCTAATACAAAACGTAATCCGTTACGCAACTATCTAATAAATTAACGGATTCAAGTACAATTACGTTCATCGACCGTTCATTTTTATTGCAATCTTTTTTTATTGTTTTAAGTTAAATTTAATTCCTTGAATAATAAAAATCAAAAAATTATTATTATGAATTTGTGATTCGATTAACAAGTTAAGTTACAAGGTTCCCAAGTCGGCACTTTTACGATTTAAGTTTATTAGCACCTCCGTTGTGGTTCGTATATGTAAATTAGGAAAACCTCGCGCTGTTGGTCCGTTGTGTTGTGTTTGAGTTTTTAAGTTCACCGTCGACGAGTAGGCGAAGTGGTCGTCGTCGTTAACCACCGTTGTTGCCGCCGTTTCAATACGTGAGAATAATAAGTTTTGCGAGTATTTTACGACGGCTTTCAGTAAAAATACTTTAGAATCGGTTCGTACTTCGAACGTTGCGAGTGCGTGTTTCAAACAATGTGCAATTAACCTATTCGTTCGATTATAAAACCCCAACATAAATATTAAAGAAAGCCGGTTGAGAAAAAATTCTTCAATTATGAACGCATCTTCTTTTCCAATTGGACCATTGTTATAATTTTTTTTTTCAGTTTCTTAATTGAAAACTCGGTTTACTTTACGAAGTGATCTCTACAAGTTAAGATATGAAACGTTACGATGTGGTTATTACAGTAAGTTTTTTAATCTATTTTTAATTCATTGTATTTTTTTATTGTTTGTTTAATTCTAAATTGATGAACGTGATTTAGAAAGTTCATATTTTTTTGTTATTTGCGCCTCCGGTTACAAAAAAAATCATTCCTCCGTAATAAGTACGTTCAGATCAATCGACAAAGATTTAGAAGTGAAAAACGATTGACTTAGTGGCCGTAATTGGTGCCTTTTAAGAGCAGGTAGTTGTGGGTTACCTTTATATAACGCTTTTAACGAGAAAATCTAATCGTTAAGAATTTCAGTGCGTGCAAATGCGAATTGCGGCGCTAGTAGGCGGATCGACAAAAAGAAACGAATATAAAGAGTGAAGTTGAGGAGGAGATTGCAACAAACGTTGCAGCAAAACTAGGAAACGTTCTTCGGTTTTTATCCTTTCTACCGGACTGTGAAGCGGCGTTTTGACTTCCCGTAACTGTTTTATTATTATTTTTTTATTATTATAAAAGAAAACGTAATAAATAAAAGAAAAAATAATTAACATTCTTTACGTAGTAACGGTTATATATCCACCGGTTGATGAAGGTGTAAGGTGCTAAATATCAGCTTACATAGTAAATAATCATGTTGTATAAATGTCAATGTAAGCGGTGAACTTTGCATATAAGTTATCCTACACCATCAATTATAAGATTTTTTTTCCCTATTAAGAGTCATAATTATTTAAATATATAAAATCATTCTTGAATTACAAGGACAAATTTTGTGTAAAAATCATTTTGGGACTTAATACGTAAAGATTACAACATTTAATTGACATATTTGTTATATCAGAACATGGGTTGTGTCACACCCGTGACGTTATCATGTCATACCCGTTACACAATCAATAAAATTTAAGAAAACTTACGTTCAGGAAGCTCGAAACAGAAAAAGATGGGCTATGAGACCTATGTTCAGTAATGCCAAAGGTTTAGAAAAAGAGAGAGAGTTTTCTGCTATATGGTTTTTTACTATCACAACTTGATATTGTTGTACCACAAATTGGATTTCTTCCATCACAAGTTGATTTACTTCCACAGCATCACTTGTTCATCCACAATACATAACGATTTCTTATTTGTTTTTCTTTATTTTTGGGCGTTTTTGCTGTTATTGCAGGACCTGACAGCTTTTCTTCTTCTCCTCATCAGATAACTGAAATTGATCTTGAAATAGGTAAACCTTGAGTGCCTAAATTGTTTTTGCCATTCACTTTCTTCGAAATGCTGCCAATCAAGTAATAAAGTAATAGTTAGCTCCAACATTTCTTGATAATCATCTCGCTGTTGCTTCAGTGCAGAAATGTAGTGTTCAATACAAGAACAGTGGAGTAGTTTTGTGCAATATCTGAATCGGTAATTGCACTTTAGAGTTGCTACAGCCCATTAAAAGTAATTCAAATATGATGATAACAAGCGAGGTCCAACAGATTACGTTTAGCAGTATCTAAATTTTATCACTTGTAGTCCATCTCTTCACTTAGTGTATGATATTTATGGGTTGCTCTTTTTCTGGAGATGTTGCATTCTAGGGAGTTTCAATAATTGCTTCTAACCTAAAAAGTTACAATAAACAGTTTTAACAAAATGCAGTTGCTGAGATTTACTCATCGATCAGAAAATAATTGTTCAGAGAAGCATTAAGAAATTCTAAGTTCCAATTTCCATAAAAAGAACTCTGTTCTTTATTCATCATAGAGTTTAACAAACTTCTTCTTCTAGTTGAAATTCATACGTTTTGCTAAGAGATGTCTTGAATAATGTAGTTAAGCAAGATCTTAAGAAAAGTGTTACACTTGTTGTGGCCATAAAAGTATTAATTTGCTTACTTTAGTTATTTAATGCTTCATGTTCTTATATATTAATAAATTAAAAGATCTATTAAAGTTTCAATCAAAATAAGAAACCATTGAGATCTTTTGTACTTACAATTCAGAAATTTTGTAACAAATCGAATAAAATGTATCGAAATCTCCCTTCACTTGTTAATCGAATGAAATAGTAACTTAACGAGATCTGAAAAGTGTTTTTTTAAAGTGTCAATATGTAAAAAGTTGTACAAAGAGTATTTTGCCCAGGCGCCAATATTGGCGTTGCCAATCTGCTTTTGCCGGTCGCATTATAAATATAGCGGATAATTTATTTTAGAAAGTTTCCATTTGCATTAACATCTCACTAACAGTGGGTAACCGGCGTGCAATCGCAAAACCAGACAATAAATTATTATCGATAGGTTTATTGAAAAAAATTACCTACTCTTCAAACAACCAAACTTGTTTATTTGAATGACAAACGACAATGTTCAAATAATTTATAATTATATTTTCCTTTCTCCGACCTATTAAGAAAGCACATAATACTATTTTTATTTATAGAATCTCATCTTACATCATTTCAATCTTGGAATAATTTCATACGGTAGATTGTTAACTTGTTCTTCCTTATGAAGAAACGGAGAGACATTCGCCCACTATTTCTTATATCTTGCAAGAATTCCTGTCCACAACTCCATTCATCTCGACCTTACCGCGTCAACACATCCTTGATGCGGTTGCAGTCTCTATGCAAATCTTATATTGTTACACCAACCTCCACAGGTGCCTTCTCAATAGAAGGAAAACGAAACGTTCCTTCATCCTACATATACTCGTAACTTCTCGTCGTTATTTCGAGTTCGTTAGAAAGGAAGATTCGCGAAGAGGAGAAAGTTTTTCCTATTGTCACGGTACCCGAAATTGATTGAGCACACATCGGCGCGTGAGGACAAAAGAATTTTTGTGTTCCGATCCTTTCATCTCAAACATAAAGATTATTAAACACGTGTGTCAATTTAGATTAGAATTACAATTTTTTATTTATCAAACTTTCTTCTGTTCGTTTCTATCCCTCGATTAATAGTACTATTTTTAAAAGTTTTATTAAATGGAATTATTATTCAAATGTTAAGTCAAAGAAAATATTAAAATTGTTTGTTAAGTACCTCATAATAACGTTAAAGAATTAATTTTATAACCAGTTAGAAAACGGTCAGCGAGGAAAGAAACCGTTCGAATCGAGATGGAGAGAATGTTTCCTTTTAACTCGTCAAAGCGTTTTATTACGTTTTATCGCTTGGTATAGCGGATAATTCATCTCTTTTCTTATTACAGGATGATCACTTAATGATGACAACCGCCAGACCGGATTGTCGAGTGATCTTAAGGAGATGTTTGGCCATTGTATTAAGAAAGGAGGGGTGTCAGGGGGATCCAGGAGATTTTTGGATGTATGAAAGTGGCTACCTATTATTTCAGGTAAAAAAATTTGTTTCTATACACAATCATGAGAACAACTTGGAATAAATCCAGACTTCGAAACTTCAATCTCGTCGTCTCGACGCCAAAAAGAAAGAATAAAATTCCCCTTCCGTTTTACTTTACGCTTGTTTTCGGTCGATCTATTCACACAAAGTTGTAACCAACCGAAAAACACTTCTAAATCTAAACTTTGTATTTCCTCAATAACATTGTAATTTCTTTCTCAACGAAAAATTATACGTGGAAAAATAAGCAACAAATTTTTAACTTTTAACTTTTACAGGGATTACTTTCTGCCAACTCGATTTGTTGGTGGAATAGTGCACTGAATGGAGCCACAAAAAGTCTTATTTATAAAGGTTACGTAAATCCCGGAGCTTTACTGGTTGGTTCTGAACCGTGTGCCCTAGAAGTTTTAAGAGGAGCTTGGGCAAGAAGAGTTCTTCAACCTCCCGCGGGATACCAAATTGTATCAGTAGGTAAGTTACAACTGGACGTATTTTTTTTGTTAAAACCTAACTGGACTTTCCTGGTAAATTTACCGTTTTAGAAAATTTACCTCTAATTTCCACACGTTAACGCGCCACGCCGTGAGAAATTATCTTTTAGTGAGTCCGCTTAAAGAGGAAATGGTTTTAACAGTACGGGGTATTTATCACGCATCTTATTATCTTTTCCCGGTCGATAACTGTTTGTTGGAAGAATCAAAAGTGTTTTTGCTTGGCGCGATAACGTCTGGTTTGTGTTTCCTTCCATCGAGACGTGTGTAATTTTGTCCGTGAGATGTAGAAATTAATCTCGATTGCTTAAACGTTACGTAAAGCATTCATTGTGCGATGGTGTTGTTACAGAGGACGTTGAGGATTGTAACGTTCTATCGGTACCGCAAACACAATGGACGCCTCTACCGGAAGCGGTCTGCGCGGTAGTTCTTCGGTTATCGAGCCAAGGAAGGCCCGCGGGCGTCGAAACCATCCGGGAATCTCTGATGATGGCCTTCCCGCACGTGTCTCCGCCCACAGAACGAATCTTGTACGATACTTTGGTGCAATTATCCACCGAAAGGAAGCTCTATCACACGTCAAGAGGTTACTTTATCGTCACGCCAGAGTAAGTTTTATATCTCTAAAAAAAATTAAGGAAACAAAAAAATATTTTTAAATAGGAGAAAAAATTTACCGTTTTAAAATTCTTATTAAATTATTTAGACCCAGTTAAAATTGCTTAAGAAGATTTAAAATCAACTTCTTAAAACTTAAACCTGTCATTTTTCTTTCATAATTGAGTTAATACCAACGTTAAAAAAAAATCCACTTTTTTTTGCAATTTATGAAAGTATTATATTTAATTATTAAAAAAGTTGTAATTTAATCTAAAATTAAATCTTTTAATTAGATCTATAATTAATAATTACGAAAATTTAAATTAAAAAGTTATCCTTTAATTTACGGAATTGTGGGTTGCTTTTAATGATAATTCGTTCCATCTTTCTTTAATAGTAATCTAATTAAATCATTTTTATTTCTTAAAAAAAAACAATTTAGTGTGGAATTTGCACCAAATTGGTTTATAAAATAACGTTTAAATGTTTTTTATAAAAAATTATCAATTTAACAAAAAAATTAAAAAATTAAATTACAAAAATTCATTCTAACTTCAAGGTCAATATAAAAGTTAACTTAAAATATCAATTTAATTAGTAGTTTTATGGAAATCTCTTGGATGCTATCAAAAGAAGTATTATTTAGACCAAAAACTCAATTAATTTATTTAAAAATTTATAAAAAAGTATTATAATTTAATTTTTATATCTGTCAATTTGACATTGACGTGCAAAATTTTGCCGTTTTACGTTTTCTTTACAACAAATCACCTCTTCACATAATAAATGTTAAAACTAGGAGTAATATAACTATAAATAATGTCCAAACAATAGCTAAATTATGTAATCCCCCCAATTTCAATAACAACACATAGTTTTTCGCCACACTATAAGTTTTAAAATTCAAAATGTTTTCAAAAACAGCACTTATACGTTTATGACAATTGCAATTTTACCTGCTATTGTTAGGGATGTAATAAATGCGTTAATTCATAATGGGGTATCGTAAAACTTTCACGTACTGCAGATGTTGAAAGACGTTCAAAACGTATAGGTGTTTAGTAAGTTTCTCTTCTTTACGACCTTCCATAATCGATTTCCGACTTGGTCCCATGATAATCGATTATCGAAGTCTTTATTTATTATTGCGTTTTTACCATGCAAATTTATCTCGATCTTTTTTATAGATATACTGCTTTGAATCCAATCCATATTCAAACTAGGTTCGTTGAGTGTGTTGAGTCGTTTTTGGCCTTTTAAAATTTGTGTGCTTGTTTTTCTCTTTTAAGCAGCATGATTATTTTAAAGTTTATTTATTAAAACGCGTTTTGATAAAATCTAATTAATTTTCTTTGTAGACGTAGAAGATCGCGAAGTCATTCGAGAGGTCGTCGAAAACAAGATGATGTTAGCGTGTCTGGCAAAACAATGTTAATGTCCACAGAGGAAGCCTTAGTACTAGTCCATGGTGAGATGACGACCATTCGCGATGGTGACGTCACCCACCAATGTATCCAGACCAATTTAGCGGATGTTATATGTGGCGGAAACTCGAGCGATAAAATTATCATCGCTCGAAGTGGCAAAAGAAGATCCGCGTCATTTCCTGCGCCGAAAAGTCCCGATCGAAGGGGATCTTTTCGTCTTTGGGGGACAGCTCGAAGACTTCGTAGGTCCGCTTCAACAAGAACCATAGCTAGGCATTACACTGATAGCAGCAGCAGTACAGAGTATCCTAATAGTTCAGATTCAGCTCAAACACCAAGTATAACTTTTTCAAGTATAAATAAAGAGAATTTTTTATTAATTTTTTTATTTGTAGAAAAAGAATCGTTGTTGTTCAGATTGTTTAGAAGGTCGAAAAGATCACAATGTCAAATTGGAACTTTTAGTGCTCAATTTCCGCCTACGGAGTGGTTTAATTCAAAAGCTATTCATTTGCATAACGTTGGTACTCAAACAGTTTCAACAAAGGAGGTAAAATAATTGTAATTAAAGTATTTCTTTAATTAATCGATTTCTTTTTAGGACTCAACAGTATCTCTTCCATATTATTATACAGAAACAGCGTCTTCCAAATCAGCAACTCTACCTCGTCGTCACAGGCGTCAATTATCGAACGATTCAACTTACGTGGCTTCCTTTAATGAATCTAGGGATCAATCCCCAACTTTTAGACCGAACGGTTCTTACGCATCGGGAAGTTTATCGCGTTCTTTGTTAAGAACGCCGAATCATTCAAAAAGTAGAGATAGTTCAAGGAAAACAAGCCATGCGAGTCTTTCCCCGAAAATTCATCAACCTCCACTCGAAAGCGAAAAAGAAAAACAATCGCCATCAAAACCAAATGAATTAACGAAAGTTGAAACAATGAGGAGACGCGTTTTGGAATCTTCAAAAACGAGTAGTAGTTTGGAATCGTTAAAAACTAGTCATAGCAACGAAGAAAAATTGATTGGTAATTTAAGTGTTGATAATAGCGGACCATCAAGTATCGAATCGCAAAAAAGTGGCAAAACGGAAAATTCAGCAACAAGTGGCCCATCGAGTTTAGAATCACAAAAAACGGTGATTAAAAATAGTAATTACAACGAAAAGAAAAGACCTACACCTTCCTCAACTTCAAAAAGAATAACCCCCGTGGTAAACGCAACGAATCTTTCCCACAGCAATTCTTTTACACTTCAAGTTACAACGAAACAAAACGGCACTAATATCTCAAACATTAATACAAACGCTATGATTAGCAATGGGACAGGATCGAATACGAAAATTTATGTACAAAACTCTCCCGTTAGGTCTGTGATAACATTTGAAAACGGACAAAATTCCAATTCAAATCCGAATTTAGTTATAATAAACGGCCAACAAGAGCCTTCAAAATACACAATTAATGGGGAAGAAATAAAAACGAAAAACACAAATTTAAAAGATACAAGCAAAAATAATTCTGCAACGAATATCACTGATGTATCGAAAACGGAGGAGATGAACAATCGGAAATTGTCGCTTCAAATGCCTAGGGATGGTTTCAGTTATAAAAATTTAATCAAAAACGTGCCTGCTACCTCAAACAACGAATACAATTCTAAGTCGAATCCCGATTCCCCGATAAATAATAGTTTTAGGGAGTTTACAAGGAATAGTTTCGACGCTGTATCAAGTCCAACGAAAAATTTAACCGAATCGAAAACGTCTCTAAATAAATCTTATCAATCTATAGCGGAAAAAAATATTTTAGGTTCAGAACCTAATATTTTTAAAGACGACGAGCGAGATAAAACGTTAACGCGACAAAAAGAGCACCAATTTCCGAGTTTAAGCGATTTAAGTTTTAATTTTACCAGTTTAGCAGCTCAAAAAATTCTTAAAGGCGTTAGTATTAATAGTATCGATACTTTGGTCGAACTTAATATGGCTGCAAATGAAAAACAGAATAATTGCGATGTTGTTCATACAGATTTTGGACTTGTTTAAGTTTTTGTTTTCTTAAAATTAATTACTACTTAATTGTGAATTTTCTTATCTAAGTATATCTTAATCTTCTCAAAAAATAATTTTTTACCCGACTTTTTGAACGCGAAAAGTTTTTGGCGTAAAAAATTAAGTTTACTTAAGTAGATTTTAGAATCTTAAAAATTAACAAAAAAAAAAACTGGGCAATAAACGTATTTTATAATCTCTTTTACGTGTTTTTTGTTTGTTTGAGCTATGTAATATATAATTTTGTAATAGTGCATTATATGTATAAAACGAAATATTAGGATTAAAAACAAAGCAAATAAAGTATGTATATTCATTTTTGTTTTATTTCATTAAAATTATTTTAACTAAATTATGATTTCGATTTGTCCCTTTTCCTTAGTTTTTTCTTCCGACTTTCTTTATCGTTTTGATAAGATTTATGAGATCTAGAACTTGAATGTCTATCTAAATTTGATTTTGAATACTTTCTCGATCTTTCTTTACTTCTCGATTTCGATTTTGAACGTCTTCTTGATTTTAATCTTTGCCTACTTTTCGATCGAGATCTATATTTCCTCTTATGCTCTCCATTATTTACATTTTCTTGGTAATTAAATCTCTCAGGGGATTCTGACCATCTCCAATTCCTTGATGAGTCATCTCTAAAAATTTAAAATCAAAAATTACAAAAAAAAATTAATCTTATTAAATAACTAACATATTAAAGCTGTTTTCATTTTTATTTTCATATTGATATCGATTCTTTTCATCCCTTTCTTTATCAATGTGCGCATAATAATCCCCTGGGTTTCTAAAAATGTGCAAAAAATTGCATGCACTTCCTTTTGGACAAGATCTTTTAAAAAATAATCCACAAATAGCCGATTTCCATGAGGCTATATTACAAAATTCAACATTTAATTGTTTACCACCATACCATCTTCCCTGAAGTGATCTATAAGCTTTAATGGCCTCCCTTGGATTGCTGTATTCAATATAAACGTTTCCACGGAGGTGAAGCTCTTTGTTGCAACAAACTCGGAAATATTTAACTCTTCCATATTTCTCTGCTTCTGGTAAGACATCATAAAAAAATTCTTTAAAGTGATTATAAATTTCTTTTGTGTCGTACTCCAAAATATCGCTTCCATGTTCGTTTTCAGTTTGGTTTAAACTAATATGTGTATAAAAATTACGAAATAATAAACAACAACTTATTTTTGGTCTTATATGATTTCTTGAACAGCCATCTCCGAAGCGACATGTCGCAGTCTTTTTAAAGAAAGGACACAACTCCTTATTGGGATTTGTTTCTAGAGATCCAACAAATTGTTCGGGTAATTCACCACCATTTTCAATATAATGATCAATTTCTTCTCTTAAAACTTTATCTCTAGCAATTTTTTCTTCCAGTTCTTTTAATTTTTGCTCTTCAATCTCTTTTAACTTTTGCCTCTCAGCTTCCCATTCAGCTTTAATTAAGGCTTGTTGTCTGGATCTTTCTTCTCTGGCATTAGCAAGTTTTCTACTTAAAAATTCCCACTTTTTCTTGCCCTCCGCTTCAGCTCTCAACCATTTCTCATTTTCTTCTTTCTTCAATCGCTCCTCCTCTTGTACTCTGTGCTCTTCTAAAACTTTTTGTTCCTCTAACCACGCTTGGTATGTAGGAGATTTTTCTCTACGTACACGTTCTAAGACATTTTTAACTTACAAACGATTTTTATTGACAACTTAAAACCTACCAGCTTCTTCGATAGCGTCGCGTTCTTGAGCACGAACGCTTCTAATGCGTTTTCTTCGCAATTTCTTAACTAATTTTCTCCATTCGGCGTGTCTAAGTGAATTATTAAGAAAACGTAACCCAATGTTCTAGACAGTGATACTTACGAACTAATTTATGTTTTTGATAGTATGGTGTTTTTATTAAAAAGGATACCTACTTTCCCATTTTTATGTGATGGGAATTGGCTGAAATGATTATTAAATGAGATTTATTTGAATTTGCACCTGAAAATGTTTGGAATTTGAGGTTAAGGTTAACCTTTTTTATTTTACTCTGCCATTACGATTAGTTGTCGTAACGTTAAATAGATGGCAGCACGGGAAAATTTAAATATATTATTAATTTGTTATTAAGGTGTTTTAAAATAAAATTATCATTTTAATGTGATATAGAGGATTTTATACGTAAAAGTCTTTGTTATTTTATATTGAATATTGTTTAATTTCTTTTTTAGATAAGGTTAAATTAGTTTCGGTTTTATAACATAGATGGCACCATAAAAAAATGACAATTTAAATTATTGACAGATTAACTTTGACGAGAGGTTTAAATTTCACTTTAAAATCTATTTATTTATTAGGTAAGTTATTTATGTAAAAATGTAAAGATACTTTTATGTTTGATAATGTTTAAGGTGATGGGTTTTTCGTAATATAAGGTATGTATAAAACTTGTGATGTTTATTCATCCAAGTGAATGATCAATGTTGGGTAAGGGTGGTAAGGGTATAGATGATGGAAGAACTGATACTGTACTGTATTCCAGGCGGAAGTATTTGCTATTAACATGGGTGCTAAATGGTACTAAAATCCTTTTTCAGATAGGGGTGAAGAACATGACAGTCAAGCCACTCTCACTGAGTTGTGATAACAGAGTTTCTCTGATCTGGCTCTCAAATCACTCTAGAGTTGCTAGAAATGAAGCGGCAGATGAGCTAGGACGAAGCTCTAAAGCATTTGTAGGGTCAGAGCCAGCAAGTCGATCATTTTCGATACCTTATGCGAAATTATTACCATTTCATAAGAGATGGCACCACAATAGCAAATTGACAACTTTAGTAAAGTTACTTTACACTTCAATTATTTTTGAGGTTAGATAAAAATTTCAATTTCAAATAAATCTTTATTTAATTAATAATTATTTACATAAAATAAGAACAATTATCTAAAATATTTTATATTACATAAAAAGATCTATTTTTGTTTCTCATTAACTAATTTTACTGGTCTGTGGACATAAAACCCTTGATCTTTTAATTTTCGATACAAAGATATATATTTTCCAGCGGATGTTGTTCTTGGTACGATAAACTTTTCGCAAAAAGTTGTTCTACTCGAAGCGGCTTTACTAAGATTTCCATAATCTAAAGATTGTAGAAATGTAAGCACGAAACTGTAACAATTATGTCTATCTTCGCTGTAATTCCTCGCCAACCAACATTTTTGTTTACAAATTTGTAGGAGGGTGTTATCCCAATGTTCCATCCAAGGTGTACTCGCTTGTCCCAGTAAAAGACATTGCCCCCAATGGGTACTTCTATGCCTTCTAAGCCCGTTTTTATCAAATTCTACGATAGTACCAGATGAGGTTGTTACACCAATATGAAGATCCATTGAGTTGTAATAATCACTAAAACCAAGAATTTTAATATATTTTAAGTCAAATTTGTTTAACAGTACTTCAAAAAATCTCCTGATGTTGGTTTTATCACAACAGAACAAGCATGTTGAGATGCTCTAACAAAAGGATAAGGTACTCTAAAAAAAATTGATTAATTAAACACAAACTGTAATACCAAAGTTTTAAAACTTACCGAAATGGTAATAAAGAAAAATCAGCTTTGGTTAAATCAGACCTACAAACTGGGCAATTATCAGGTAACGAGAAGCAAAATATTTTTGGTCCACAATGTTGAAAACACACAATACCAGGATCCATTTTCTGCCTACACAAAAAAAGTAAATAAATAATAATAAACAAGTTGATTGTTCTGCTTTTGTTTAGAACTAATTCACACAAGACAAATTTTTTTAGTTTTAAACATTCTAATGAACGTACTTTCAAATAATAGACAATAATACATCGAGAGCGATGGGAATCTTTAAAAAGGCGTTTTCGAAAGAAGCGCGCGTGTGTAGTCTTTTTTGCGAAATCTCTCAACAAATCAAGACTTACAATCGCCAGTGAAACTAAAGTTTCTCGTTTGCGGGAAATCTCTCGAGCACAAATTAAAGCTTGTGAGAGAAATTTTTGTATGCTGGTACGGATGTAGGACATGGATTGCAATCACCCAAAAGAAACGTGATTAATTAAATTAAAATTGGATAAATTTTGATCATGTGATACAAATTGCTTGTATAAATATTTTTTTTAGATGTTAATTTGTTGTGATAATTGATGATTTGGGGGGAGAAGCAAAAAAATACAGTTTTGCTTAATTGAATGTCACGAGATATTGGATTGAAAAAGATCATCCTTTTGGATTTTGAAATTTAAACGTAAAAAAATTGAAGTTGTAAACAATTTAATTATGACAAATACCGTAGTTAGCTATTTTTAGAAAATCTTTATTTTAACAATTATTATTTTTGTACCAAATTACTTAATAATAATTTCTTTTACTTACCTAAAAAGTTAATTTTTAATATATAAACTAATTTTTTTACTTGATCATTTTTATTTTTTTAAAACTAATTGTTTTGTTTATGTTATAGTATGTAGTTTCTACATAGCGACCTCGACTAACAATAAGAAACTTTTAAAAAGCGTTCGTTTCGCTCACCTGCGAAAGATTGACTGACTCAAGTTGACTGAGCAGCACGAACAGCACGAGTCTCGTCTCACGATGGAAAGTCGGGTACCCGGTGCGGTCAAACACATTTGTACCTGTTTCTGGTTGTTGTTTACGCGTAGCTATGGAAACGCCGAAGTGTACCACTTCCTGTGGGACGTATTGGCGTCCTACCGGCTCCTTTTCAAAGGGCAAAAGAACGTGTGTATAGTGTGCAGGTAGTGGGTTACTTTTGCCAATAAAAAAATGTAAGTAGAAAAAAAAATTTATTACATTTTTATTTTGGAAATTAATATTATTTCGATACAATGAGTTAGAATATTGAAAGTATTTTTTAAGGATTCGTTGTTAATTAATGCATGGTGGGGATAGAATGGTTAATTTGATCAATATTTTCCTAAAGAATATATTTTTTTTAAATATAAAATTTTCCCTATCTGTATCATTTATTCAATAGATTAAAATTTTAAATCTGTTTTTATTAAAAACATTTTATTTCATTTTCATTTCAAAAATGTTTAATGCTGAACATTGAGTTATTATCGATTTATAATGTTGGACATTATGATTGTATCATAGTTATCAACTATTTTCTTATTTACGAAAATTTATAGTTGAAAATATTTGCGAAATCCCAAAAAATGTGCCATTAGTGTGTCATTAGAGTACGTCATGTCTCTTAGTATGGCTTATGATTTGCATTTTGGCATTTTTGATAATAATAATTATAAACAACGATCAGGTCAGTTATGTACTACGCAAGATTTTTTGTAATCCTGGTCAACTTACTCATTGACAATCTAGAAGACAATCTCTGCAGACTCTCTACATTTGATACCATGACATCAATTAACTACATTTTTGATACCTTCTTTGATAACAGTAAAGGAAAAATACACTGTGTATGGAGGTATAGCATAAACTTTTACTTGCTGACTCCAACGTGCAGTATGCAATGAACGATTACATATACAAGGGTATAGTTAGCGAAAGTATGGATTTATCGGCGAAAGAGAAATTATTGAATCTGTAAACTGTTTGGCAAACTTAATTGTCGAAGGAAAAAAGGCATATCAATGCAATACTTTAATTGGCTCAACAAAAATGCTTAAAAGCTATTCCAGCGATTTAGAAACGAAAAATACAAGGAGTCTTGTGATAAATTGAGAAGTAGCAAGGATAAAACTGCAAGAAAGCTGCAAACTTGCGAAATACCATACGTAAAAAAGAGCTTGATGTTCGCATTGATCCTGCCGATGGCTTTATGTATGCTAACTAAAAAATGCAAACGCACGTTAGCTATCTGCGTATACATTGTGCTACCTATCCGTTTTTTTCAACAGATCTGCTTTTCTGAATGCATCTGCAACATTTTAAGATAAACCCAAATATAAGCAATATTTGCCCTACCATACAACTTTTCCCACAAGACTGGAATTGCAAGTTAATAAAAATATTGTGATAAGCTAGCTTTGAAAAAAGTGAAAAATGGATAAATTTTCAACTTTACTTCTCAAAAAGACCATTTCAACCTCAATCTATCTTTATTGCGTTTTATCTTAAAAGATTTGGATTGTAATGCCTCGGCTGTAAGCAACCTCGGTTATAATTATACAAATACGGCATTTCCCAGTTTCTCATCAGTTGAGAGTTATGTTATTTGGGGTTGAGGCATTTCCTTGATCGCTTTTTATCTTAAAGGATCTGGATTGTAATCCCGCAAGCGATCTCGGTTACAAATTTTCAAATTGGCATATCATCAGTTCAGCGCCGGTTGGGAAAATAAAGTCAAGGTCGCTTGCGGCCGAGGCGCTGTCTTGATCACATTTTATTTTAAAGGATATGGATTGTAATGCCTCTCCCGCAAGCGACCTCGGCTTCAGTTATACAAACCTGATACTTCACCACTTGGATCATCACGCCATCAATATGTAGCCATGTTAAGACGAGGAGAAGCTGTAAAATTAAACAGGACACTAGAACGAAGTTGTAACTTTATAAGGAGTAATATTTGAATATCTAATCTTTTCGACAATAAAGATAAATTCATTGTGTGGAAAATTATGTTTTGAACCACTTTCTCCATATCAAATAAATTTGGGGATATTGCTCTACAAAAAAATCATTTAGAAAAAGATTATGTTTTCAGCTTTCCAGAGCACTACTGTCATTATACTCAAGAAAAATCTGAAACGAAGTATTTAAGACTAGAACTTGTCATGGCTAAAATATATCAGGTATTTCTCCAAAGCTGTAAATTGATTGGAATTCCTAAAACCAGCGTACCAAGGAATGATTTTACAGATTACATCTCTCTAATTACTATTGCCGAAAAGCAAAGTAATCAAAAAACAGTAATTCTGCAGAAACTCTCGCAATACTTGATATGCATAAATACCTTCCAACGTCTTCTTCAGCAAATAACAAATCAAAAAAATTTGTGGATCTTAAACGAGACTATCAGAAACAGTATTACAAGACTATCATACGCTGTGATGTGGAATAAAAAAAGTGGAGGAGTTCTGAAACCAGAAAGCCAAAAACATTTAAATATTTCTGAAATGATTACCTTACAAATTGAAAGGTTATAGGTTATACAAGACCAGAAGGTCTTCAAGGGCAAAAGAAACGAATTTAAGGTTTCGGCTATATTAACTTCTTATTAACTAATATACAAATTTTGTTATAGGCAATACTAAGAGTATATCATAAGTTATACAACGTAACCCAACAAATTATAATCACTTTGAATGTATCTATACAAAAATGAAAAAATTGGTCATAAGATATTGGAAGATATAGAAATTACTGTTAAATTTTAAATCATGATATATATTCTAATTCTTATTCCTTCTCAATGTCTCATTCCCTTATTCTTATTGCATTCAATTAACAATAATTATCAAAGATCCTATCTATTTTCAATTCGTTATGCACTCGTGCAATTTACAGTAACCAGGAAACTCAACTCGAACGTAAAGTTAATTAAAAGTAAAATATATTCTAAGACCCCGTCTAATTTGTAATAAACCTTCTTGTGTCCCACTTCCGTTTTTATTCTACATTTTTAAAACGACACCAAGAAATCCACTTTAATAACAAAAATGTAACTGTTTAAAAACATTAAACAAAATTAAATCTACACGAGAAGCCAAAAGTGTTACTAACACGTCTTTTATTTAAAACCCTAATTACCGCGCCGTGTACATTAACAGTTAACGTCGATTAGCGTTTGAGTTTGTCTCTTTTGTTCTTCGTTGGCAAACAATCGCATCGTTTAACGGGGGTTTTCTTTTGATTGAGGCAGATGCTCTTTCTCGCGTTAAAGGAAAATTTGCTCTACGAACCGCGACGTGGTTATAAGAGCTTATTATATGTAGAGAGATATTAACCTGAATAATGTCGAAGTGAATCGAATAGTACAGTTAAATAAACAGATGGCGGAAAATCGCAACGCAAAAGCGATTATCGCGACCAACGACCGTGATTATTTATAACCGAAGCGGCCTTTGAATTTCATTGCAAACGAAAAAGAAATATTTCGTTTAAAAGAACGAACGCCATTAAGCGAGCGCGATTAGAACGGATATCCGACCTAATTACGTCGTTTGTAAGAAGAAGTATTGCTGAAGTATGTGTGCTAATGTCATAACGTATTGTTTTAAAAGAGGAACAAAGAAAGGAAAGGATTAAAGGATTTTGCGTAGAAAGTTTTTGACCTAATAAAAAATAAATTTGCATTTTTTACAAAAAATTTTTTCTTTATCTTTATAGATACCATCTTTAAAATATTCAGTTTAATAAGAATGCGGAATGAAGTTTATCGGTAGCATAAAATTATGCATTTTATCATCATTTACCATTTATTGGGGTGTTTACGCCGGTTTTGCTTGTTTAAGCAACCCTTGCATGCATGGTGTTTGTATGGACGGCCTTAACACTTCGTATTCTTGTTATTGCATCGATGGATACACAGGGGTTCAATGCCAAACGAATTGGGATGAATGTTGGTCTTCACCGTGTCTAAACGGTGGAGTTTGCTATGATGGAATCGCAAGTTTTAATTGTTCATGTCCAGCGGGATTTGTTGGTAATTATTAATTTTAATATTTTCTAAAATTTATTAATAAATAACAAATTTAGGTGAAGTTTGCCAAGAAGATTTCAATGAATGCGAAAGTAACCCATGTTTAAATAACGGAACTTGTTTTGATATCACCAATGGGTACACTTGTAATTGTTTACCAGGATATTTAGGTACTTATTGTGAAATTGATATCTCGGTTTGTGATTCTACCAATGAAACGAGATGTGCCAATGGCGGTGTTTGCGTTGAAGGACCTGGAGAAAGTTTTAGTTGTGAATGTCCAGCAGGTAACAAAGCGAAGCAAAAAAAAGGAATTAGAAATATTATTTAGAATCACTATTAGTTTGTATTTTTGTTTCACGAAATAACTTAGTTTTTGGTAATATAAATTGGATTTAGGTTGGAATGGCTTTTTATGCGACCACGAAATAGATGAATGCATGTCTTCACCATGTCAACACGGCGCCGTTTGCATCGACCTTCACGCTGATTACTCATGTGCCTGTACATTTGGTAAGTAGGAAGAAAAGAAAATGTAAAAGCACAATCGAATCTTCAATTTCATAGAATTTGAATTTCAATTAATTCAATTAGTTGTTACGTAATTCCATTGGAAGGTTCTTTTCCCAAAAAAAATCACAATACAATTTAATTCACCAATTCCAATTGTGTCATAACATTTCTAGTTTTCACCAAAAAAAAACGAATCATCAGTAAAGTTTAGATTTTCAACGATGAATAACTTGGTTAGTTTAAAATTTTTTTTGTTTATATTATTTTTATTAGGATTTACTGGGAGGAATTGTGATGATGTTATCATGGTTTGCGAAGACAATCCTTGCAGGAATGATGCTTTATGTCTTATGGAAGCCGGGCATCCAATGTGTTATTGCGTGCCTGATTTTCATGGGGAGTGGTGTCAATATCAATATGATGAGTGCCAATTAGGACCAAGGTAACACTTATTTAACGATTCTGCATTTATGATGTTTATTTTTTTTAGATGTATGAATGGTGGAAGTTGTATTGATGGTATAGATACATTTACGTGTTCTTGTCCGCCAAAACTAACTGGTTTATACTGCGAGTGTCTTATCTTAGAAGACAACTCATTAGATTGCACTTATATAAAACCAACGATAATAGATTTTACAACAACAGAGATTCCTATTACATTTACGACGACTTCAACGGTTTTTACTGAGATGCCAAATTCAACAACTAATCTTATAGATTTAACGAATTTTACTCAAACCGAATCTTCAACAAAATCATCTTCTGAATCAACGTTTTCTACTTTTTCGACGGAATCAACGTTTATTACTTCGATTCCAACAGAAACGCCTATTTCTTTATCAACGATTTCTAATACAACCTCAACTCTAACTGAAAGATCGACTACTAAGCTATTTTCAACTGAGATAACGACTATTTTAAATGTGACTGAAACTGATACGACTTATTTTCAATTAGATACGACGACGATGGGTAAAGATGGGATGACGTCGATTGGTGACCACGAAGAAACTAGTAGCGAATTTGTTCCAATTACGTCGACCGTTTTTTCAACTTTTCCAGGACGTGTAACAGTAACTGATTTAGTTGAAACAACTTCATACGGAAAAACATCGACATTTTTATTGTCGACGTTTTTAACTGACGAACCAAGTTATGTAACTGAAAGCGGTTTATCTGAGACAGAAATAACAACAATTGGTCACGAAATAACCACTACGTTTAAACCATTTTTAGATTGTACAAAAAGTGAAAATAAATGTTTAAACGGTGGAACTTGTACTTTTGTTATGGATGGTTATAAAGTAATCAATTTTATTTGAAATTTAACTAAATTTTTATATCTTTTTTAAATCTTTTAGTGCGTTTGTCCTTTTGATACAGATGGATTATTATGTGAAAAACACCTTGGTATACGTAACGCGGCGTTTAATGGAAAATCATTTCTGACTCACCGATTATTCAATCAATCCCAAGCTTCGATTTCATTCAAGGTTAAAACGCTAGCTACATCAGGATTAATTTTTTACACCAATATAGAAAATTCTTATATCGCACTTTACTTAGAAGAGGGTCATTTAAAATTTAAATTTTCTTGTGGGTTCCAAACGATGCTTTTAAGCGAAGTTGAAGTCCCGGTTAATAACGGATATGACATGGATATTAAAACTGAATTAAAATTCAGTAAAGATAATAAACATTGTGAAGCTTTTATTAACATTAACGATACGTTAATTATGAGTGGAGATCAAATTGCTTTAATGGATCCTTTTGCGAAGAAAAATTTATTGGTACATTTCGGAGGGATCCCTGAAAATTCCCAAATCGATGGGTTCGGTTATGAAGGATTTATTGGGTGTATAAGAAAATTGGAAATTTCTGGGAAAGAAATGTTAATTTTTAAAGACGCAGATGATGGAGTTGGAGTTACTGAATGTTCCTCACTTGCTTGTTTATCAAATCCGTGTGGAAATGGTGCTAGTTGCTCAGCTAAAGGGGACGATTGGTATTGTCATTGCAAAAATGGGTAAAATCTCTAAAGTAATTTTTTTTTATTTAACAAAAAACATTTTTAAAGATTCGTTGGAAAAATGTGTGAAACATCAATCTGCGATAATAATCCTTGTCAATATGGAGCAACATGTTTACCATTCACAGGAAGTGGTTATATTTGTTTATGCCCGTTTGGAAAACACGGACATTTTTGCGAAAGCGATTTAGAAATTACAAAACCCTACTTTTCATCTTCAATCTACGGATATTCTTCGTTTATCGCTTACCCTCTCCCAACGGCGGTTTCTAACAAATTAGAAATAAAATTTCGTTTTTCGCCAGCCACAATGGACCAAATCTCGATTTTAATGTTTCTTGGGCAAAGAGGTCAACACAATTTCCATTCGGATCATATGGCGGTGAGTTTTGTTAAAGGTTATATTATGTTAACGTGGAATTTGGGTTCTGGTCCAAGAAGAATTTTCACATCAAAACCGATCAACGCGGAAATGGGGTCGCATTTAATCCATATTGGGCGAATTGGAAGACGAGCTTGGTTGTTCGTTGAAAATCTTGGAAATATCACCGGAAGATCACCCGGAAATTTAGTCCAACTCGACGTTGTTCCAATTCTATACTTAGGCGGACATGATTCGAAAAATTTCACATCGCTTCCTCACGATTTACCACTTCATTCAGGATTCGCTGGGTGCATTTACGACGTTGAATTTAAATCGGGGGGTTTTGTTATTCCATTAGCTGAATCTAAGTATGCGTTTGGAAGGGCTTTGGGGCAATGTGGAACTACTGAGTGTTATGAGAAGATTTGTCAGAATGGTGGGGCTTGTTTATATCATGGAGGAACATTTACGTAAAACTTAAAAATTAAATGAGAAGAAATGATTTATTTTAAATTTTAATTTTTAGGTGTTTGTGCCAAGATAGTTTTTTCGGGCCAATGTGCTCGACAAAATATAATCCATGTAACACGTTAAGATCGAATTGTTGGATGGAATCAAGTTGCGTACCTTTAATTGCAGAGTATGAATGTGATTGTCCTTTAGGAAGAACAGGAAAATTTTGTCAAAATGGTTAGTTTAATATAATTATGGTAGAATTTCGATATAACGGATTAATACGGGGAAGGGAGTATCCGTTATAGCCAAAAGACATTCGGGTTTAGGCCTACGTCTCTGAAAACGGCTAAATCTGAGTGTTTCTAGTTCTAGTGACAGTGTTAGTGTAAAACTAGAACTAATACTAGACCTGGGAGTAGAATCATTCAGGTTTAGCCGTCTTGAGCGACGTGCGGTTGAACCCGAATGATTCTAGTTCTAGGTCTAATGTTAGTTCTAGTGACAGTGTTAATGTAAAATTAGAACTAACACTAGAACTAGAATCATTCGGGTTTAGCCGTCTTGCGTGACTTGCGGCTAAACCCGAATGATTCTAGTTCTCGGTCTAGTGTTAGTTCTAGTGACAATGTTAGTGTACAACTAGAAGTAATATAAGACGGCTAAACCCGAATGATTCTAGTTCTAGGTCTAGTGTTAGTTCTAGTCACAGTATTAGTTCTAGTGACAGTGTGAGTGTAAAACTAGAACTAACAAGGTCCGTTATATCGAGATTTTATTGTATTTTATTAATTTATTTCTTTTATTCAATTAGAAACAATAATCAGCGATGTTGGATTCTCCGGAATAAGATCTTATTTAACGTTAGATCCAGTTGTTTTCGAATTGATTAAATTCAATATTGATTTTGAATTGAGACCGTTAAGTGATCGTGGATTAGTTTTATTTATTGGGAAAAGAGATTTTATTTCGATTTTTCTTCATGGTAGTGTCTTGGAGATTCGTTTATTACCGAGTCGACATCGAATCTTAACGAGCGATTTAATTTCGTTGCGAAGTAATAAACTCTTAGTTCTGGGAAATTGGCATAAAATAAATGTAGGAATGTATGGGAGAAAAACGTATTTATTCGTTGATGGAATTGTAACAACGGCTATCTTAAATAATGGGGATCTATTAAATTTGTCTGGGGAGACGATTTATTTGGGTGGACTTCCAGACTTATCAATACTTCCTAATGAAGCGACGATTTCGTATCCAATTCCGTTTATGGGATGTATCAGAAACTTTTTTATAAATTCCCAACGAATTCCGTTAACTTCAACAACCATAAAATCTTCAAGAAATATTGTTGATTGCGATGGAACTCCATGCGGAGGAGATTATTGCGAAAATAATGGATCTTGTTGGTTAGATCCTAATTTAAATCCACATTGTTCTTGTCCTGATCCATATTACGGAGAAAAATGTGAAGAGATACCATCATGCGAAGAAAAACATTGTGAGAATAACGGAAAATGCCTTGAAAATAGATGCGCTTGTACAATTGGTTACTCAGGCGCGTTTTGCGAAACCACAATCTCAGTTAAAACCCCGATGTTTTCAAAAAACAGTTATATAATAATCAGTAAAGGATTAGATAAGAAAAGGGACCTAAATTCGTTTAGCACAAATTTTTATTTAAATTTTACGACTGTTTCTCAAAACGGATTAATTTTATGGACGGAAAAATCGCAAAGTTATTTAGGAATTGGAATTGAAAATGGTCACTTAAAAATAGTGTATTCCATCGGAAATTATGACGAAATCTTACAAGTTTTGGATTTCCCAAAAATATCGGATGGATTGTGGCACAGTTTGGAAGTAAATTTTGAACCTTTTATTTTAAAATTAGACCAAAAAGAAATTAATATAGAAATTGAGCATTACAATGGTACCTTGAATGTAGACGATAAAGTTTTTTATTTAGGCGGATTACCAAAAGAAATATCACAAAAATATCAGGGGATATTTGCGAATTATTTTGAAGGGTGTATCATTGAATTTGGATATGGGAAAGATGTTAATATTAAAGATTTCAGTAAATATAAGGGTGAAAATATTGAGATGTGCAACTTGGTATGATTTCTAGTCTAATTTAAGTAAATCAAAAACACTGCCATTTAATGTATCTAGTCAAAATAAGTAGACTTCCGATAATTCGAGACTTTACTGGATTCCTGGATTATTGGTATTCCACAATATTAGATGTTAGCACAATTAATTTTTGTTAAAAAAGTCTTTTTCTTTGTTAATTATGTAGAAGAGTGTGACAAGTACAAAAATTGTTTTATGTAATATTTCTGTTAAGATAATAAATTTCTTTTTAAAATAATTAAAAAATTTGATGTTATTGGAAAAATAAAGATGGTTGAAATAAGAAACTTTGTTGTAGTACATAAAATATAATTCATTTATTTATATTTATATATGTGTATATATACCTATATATTAATATATCTCTGTTTGAATTTTGTGCATGAGCACGAAATACAATTTCCCACTATATCCAACTGAATAATAAAAATTAATGAAGTTGATTAGATTGCATCGTTATAACTACACTTTTAACACCATAGTTATACAGATCCTCATATATGCGTTTATAATAACATTATCTTTTTATATATACTCGCCCATTTTAATTAATTCCCATATCTGTGTATACATATAAACATATCAATTCCTTATCAATTAATAATTGCGTTAATTTATCAATTTGTTTACATTTTTTTTTTTAAATAGTAAATAGATTTTTTTTCGCATACATGGAACAGTAATAATTTTTGTTTTAATTATCTAGGTACAAATACAAATCCAGCCACTTACATCTCAATTAGATAATAGTAAAATTCATTTATTTTATATAACATAATAATTTAACCATCAACCACATATAAGATATATGTTTTTTTTATTATTTAATTTTTTTTTCGTTTAATATTTAATATACATCTGACTGGAATAACAAAAATACAATATTATCATATTAGCAAACAGCGCTCGTTCCCCCATATGGTTTGGAGGGGCCACGGCGCCGCATCACATCACTTAGCACCGAGAAAACAGAGTACGGAAAACCACATATAAAAATACCAAAACAAAGCGCTTTGGTCCTCTAATATAATCGTCTATATACATATACAATATATTTACGAATTAAAGATTCGCAATGAAGGCATATATATGTATATAAACGTTATATTCATTTCGTATAATATATATAAATTTTTATATATTGATAAAATATATTTATATATATATATATATATATAATAGTAAGCCCTGTTTAATAATAATACTTAAGACAAGGGAGCGTTCTTTCTCCTTTTTCGTTTCATTTTCTTCTTTATCTCTTTCCATTATCAAAAACCAAAAAAAAATCCCCCGCTATTAAAAAAAACGCAATAAAAATAATATACTTTTCTTAAACGTTTTCACTATTTCTTTCTTCTTTCACTTAATTTTTATTTTTTAATAAATTTTTGTTCTTTTTTTTAATTCATTTTTGTTTTCATCGATTACTTTTACGATAATATAGTAAATTTATGACCTAAATGTAATTGAATAGGATAATAGAGAGTGTGTTTTTTTTTCTGCGTGTGTATGTGAGATAGAGAGAGAAAAGATATATAATTAATTGCACCAAGAGAGCGCGTTTTCTCTTCAGATCGCCATCTTACCAATAACCATAGAGACCAAAATGCTGAATATGGTTACCAATACCGCCATAAGGAACACCTTTTGTTGTTTTGTTATGGTTTTAAAGTTAACGTACGGCCACGTGGTGTGTGCTTTATGTCTGGTATGCAACGGACTTCCGCCTGTGGACGACTGAGACCTTGAAGATACCAACGGTTCGATTGCTACCGTTTTAAACGTAGCGTCGGATGAATGAGGACCAAGTAATTCCCCGGTTGACGTCATACGAACCGGAAGAACGCGAACGCTGTAATCTGTACCAGGATCTAAATGATCTAAAGTACAGGTTATTTCTGAACCTCTATATACCTATAAAGTAATAAATAATAACATCATATTAAAAAATAAAGTTACAACTTACTTCTTTATAATCTTGTTCTCTTAATTTGGTGAGCTGCACAATATAAATAATTTTATCGTTCGTATTATTTTTCGAAACATTCCATTCCAAGACGCATTGTCTTTGTTCAACTTCAATAACTTTCGGTGTTCGAACAGCAGCAGGTGGGGCAATGATGGTTTTAAATTCATAAACGTCAGAAAACTCTCCTTTTCCAGCATCGTTTTTAGCACTTATTCTAAACCGATATATGGTAATTTCTTGTAATTTAGTAACCTTGAAGGTAAGAGAAGTTCCTTTAAATATCCTCTGAAACTCGTTCGTTCTATTATTAGCCATTTCTAAATAATACGTCGTATAATCTTGATTCTTTCCATCGCCCCATTTCAATTTCAGGTAATTGTAACTAGTCCCAATGCATTCAAGTTTTGGTGGGCTTGGCGGCAATCGCGCGGTCATTAATTTCACGGTCGTAAATGGACCTATACCCACGGAACTAATTGCTTGCAATTTTACTTTGTACACTGTATTAGGCGTTAGATCTTCAATGGTAAATTCGGATTCGGATCCTTCCGTTCTGTAACTTTGCTCGCCTAATTCGATGTTATAATAAATAACGGGACATCCGTAACATTCGGGTTCTTGCCAACACAAGTGAATGCTTGTCGGGGTTACCATTGATTTTGGTGTTGAAATTAGGGAAGGTGGCGCAGGGGGAGTTTTAGCTTCTACAATTGGACAGAAAGGACTACATCCTGCGCTGTTACACGCTTGTACGCGGAAAAAGTATATTGTGGACGGTGTTAAATCTAAAATTAAATTTATTATAAGATTTAAATTATTAAAAATTTTTTTTTAAACTTACTTTTGATATCACTGCTCAAGGCGGGTCCTTGATAAACCATTTGGAATTGATCATCGTTAGGTATATTTCGTAAATCTCTACCAGTTAAAGACTCTTTTGATTCACTGCTACATGATTGCATGGGGGATTTTGATAAACCTGGACTCATTTCTAATTTGTATTCTTTAATAGTCGCCCCATTATCTCTAGGTTCGCTCCAAGACACAATAACATGTTTTGGTGATTCGCTGATGACTACAACATTTTCAGGCCAATTTGGAGGTGCTGCCCCACTACATATATTTGTATATTCCGAAAACGGACCAGGGCCAACTCTATTTACTGCCCTGACACTAAAAGTATATTCAGTACCAGGCCTCAGATCTGTTACAACAATTTCGCACTCCTTCGTTTTGCAGACTAGGTTCGGACTAGAGTCTGAATTGATGGTGAAGACTTCGTATTCTAAGATTGGTGCGCCACCGTAATAATCCGGTTCATTCCATCTCAATCCTAAGCTTGTAGCTCGAGGTTTTCCAACCAATTTAAGACCTTGGCAAATCGATGGAGTGATCGCTTCGGTTGTGACCGTGCATGGATCCGAATAATCACTGTGCCCACCTATGCTTTTGCAACATACTCTGAGTTGGTATGTTGTTCCAGGTGCTAAATTATCGCAAATTGCTTCCGTTTCTATTCCAGTGTAGACCCTTCGATATCCGCTGCCAGAGTTTAATTCCAAGATGTATTCGGTAACCTCGGCGCCACCCGTATCCGAAACTGGTTCCCATTTAAGTCGGAAACAATGCGCATGGATTCGACCTTTCACTGCCGGTTTAATTGGTTTTGAAGGCCTATCAGGCAGAGTTCGGAATGTAACTTCAGATGACCACGGAGAATCACCACCTTCATTTTTAGAACGTAATCTAATAAATAAAATAAAAATAAATAAACATGGGGTTATAAGAAACAAAATTTATTAGTTTACCTAAAAACATAATCACTAAACCTTCTTAATTTATTATTACAAACATATTCAGAATCCGTTCCATTATAAACAGTTAAAAATCCATATTTCTGTTCGTTAATTTGTAAGACAAAGTTGTGATCTTCAGGCCTTTTCTGCCATTGTAAATGCAAAGTGCTTTCAGTCGAGTCTTTTAATGTGGGAGGTGCGGGTTGCGATGGCGCATTTTCTGCCGTTGTATAAGCTACAACGTCCGAATAAAGACTCTTACCAATTTCATTTAAAACCGCCAACCTAAATTTATAACTCGTCGATGGTTGCAACTTCTGGAGATGATGATTATGATGTTTTCCTTTACTTTTATGAATCTCAATAAACTCCCCATTTTTACCCTCATCGTATTCCAAAATATAATGGATAATCTGCGATCCGTTTTCGTTAACATGATTCCACCTTAATTGTAAACTATTCTTTGAACGCGACACTAACTTCGGAGGTTGCGGCTGATCAGGTTCGCACGGTGGTGTCGTAAACTTGATGGGTTCCGTCGCGGAACCTTGCAATTCTTCAAGGTGCACCTGTAAGCATACCGAGTACTCTTGGCCAGGTTTCAGATCTTGGATGCGACACGAAAGAGAATCACCACTGTAAATTGACTTGTATTTCATTTGCTCTTTGCTTTTATCGCTACTTAAAAGGACTTCGTAACGTAAATCTTCTTCGTTCAGTTCTTGTTCATGGCTATCGTTACTAGACGCCTCCGAAAGGCGTAACGGCGGTGCCCATTGTAATAAGGCACTTCGAGACGTCAATTCTGATACCTAAAAATAATAAAAATATCTATATAATCATAAATGTGTATTTAAATTTAAAGTGTTTGTTGTTAAGATTTAAATCAAAAGCAATCATCTTGATTTAAAATTTTTCCCGTGGGAAGGCTGCGTTTCGCAAGCGACGAGGTCGGTAAAGAGATTGCGAGCAGAATCTTCCCGCGAGAGAACACGCCGACGTGAGAACACAAAACAGTGTATAAGATACGTATCGGAGCGCCGTCTGGTGAAATCGTCGTCGATTTCGAAACGACGCCCGGTGAACGAACCGAAAGACGACGTCCGTCGCCGCCACCGCCTTCGATTGCGCAAGCGAAAGGCCGTCGTCAAGTAAAAGGCAACAACACCGACGTCCGTCGTCCCAGATCGAGTTTATTAAAACCAATTAGTAACGTAGATAATTGGACAGTAAGTTACAATAGGTTAAATTGTAACATTTCAAAACGCATTTCTTGCACAATTTATGTTGTAGTAATATCCGAGGGACAAATGTTATAAAAAATTATCGAGATTTCATAAGATTATTTGTACTTTATTTTCATTTACCTTCGGTGCTTGTACTGACGATAAAATATCGGTAATAATATGTATTGAATCTTCTTCATCTTGAACGCTACTACTTTCTTCGCCATCTTCAGATGTACCAACACTATTCATTCCTTTTTCTTTGTGGGATCTGGTGAGACCGTTCACCAAATCTTTCATGGGAGAGAGACTATTAGGGCCACCGGCATCCCCATTACCACCACCCGTGACGATACCACCCTTCTGTTGCTTGTCATGCAATTTTTTCCTGAGCTTATTATGTTGCCGATGTGTCCTTTCGTCCTTATAATAGGCGTGGCTCGGCGGCGGCGAGTGCCCGGCGTTCGGGGCGTTGGCAGGACCGTGGGGTAAATGCCCGGGGGGGATGTTTGAGTGAAAGTGAGGTGGTGGAAAGTGTACCCCGTGATGGTGAGGGTACATTAACGGTTGTGGACCTTGATTCGTACCATTTGGTGGTGCTGTACCCTATAAAAAATTATATAATTAATTTTATTTGTTACTCAATAATCTTTTTTTTGTTCTTAATGTAGCACCTGATGACTAGTATTTATTAAACCGAAACCGGTCAAGCAAGGATAATAAATATAGGATTCAGAAGTACGCAGTATACAATTATAAATAAGATTTTTAATTAAAAAAATTAAAAATTGTTTTTTTTTTAAATACCTAGAGGCTATTTAAAAAAAAATCTTGATTTAACCTTGACAGTCATGTTTTCATCTTAAAATAGACACATTACCATAGCGGGTTATTTTTATAAAATTAATTTTAAAATATCTTTTTATCCAAAACGTTTCAAAGTCGTTTCAAGAACAAGAAAACCAATAAAGTTTGTGAACATATTGGACGTGTGAATATAACAATGTAACAAAATTTTATAAACACCGGTTTTGCAATAACAGTACATTCAAAATCGGTAACAATGTTGTATTTAAGATTCTTTGAATAGAAAGAGACATTCTCTACGTTATGTTATAACTTTTAAAGAATGGCGAATTTTATGGCTGTTTTAATATCAGCTGATGTTTTTAATGCCTTGCGAACAGTGACCCAAAAACGACAACCATAAAAAAACACATAAAAGCATATCGCATCGATTACAATATTTAAAAGACATCCTACGCGAGGTTATGCCATTAATTCCGATGAATATAAGCATTATTTTAAATCAAACAGTGTGGAACAAAATTAACCCAACAATACAGTTTATAGATAAACTCGGGTGTTCCCCGAGTTGTGTATATGATATATAAATCAAGGACAGTTCTAATTTTAATTGTTATTCATCATTAGATTGTATTTTTTTTCGAGTTCTAGGTCTAGTGTTAGCTCTAGTGCTAGTATTAATCAAGGTTTTACTGAATTTATAGATATGAAAAAGGAAAAATAATTAAAAAAAAAAAACATTTATAAACAAAACTTTTACCATTGGGTGTGCTTCCAAACTAACTTTAATCACAACTTTTGAAGTCTTATTTTCTTCTTCATTTTCAGACGACATTACTACAACTACTCTTTTATAAAAATGAATCGATTAACTATAAGGAAATACCAGATTCTCGTTCACCGAACACAATAAACATATGCGACGGAAATATCGATGTGGACGATCGCAACGTCAACGAAAAAGCGCCAACGAAACGACTCTCTTATCTCAAGTTGTGGGTTTAGCCGCGGGCGGTGTTACAGTCGTATTGTGACAACAAAACGTTCGACCAATACAGCGAATTCCAAAAACGATAAGAACCGGGCAATCTGGTGTTTATTGAATGTCAAGCCTTTTTCGTCAGGTTTTTTTTTTAGTTTGAAATGTCCGAGTGTATTTTTGGAACGTTTATCACTAAAATTGATTTCGATATCCAAGAAGAAAGTTTAAAGGTTAATTAGATCCGCTTTTATTGTGGTATTATGGGTGGATTACTGTGTTGATTATGACACTTGTTATAGCACAAATATACTGTTTTATTGTTTGATTTGTTATTATATGTTTAAGGCGTGTTTTTATTGTTATTGTAAACATTTCTCTTGAAATGGACTCAATAAAGTAGTAGCAGTTATTGTAGTTTGCCTGCAGTCTTTAACAATGTGTGTTACCTACTGTATCAATATATATCATTTTAGAACTTAATCTGTATACTATAAGTTCTTTTACATAAGTTGTTATATGTTGAGTATCTTGATAATTGCGATAACGCCTAACGATTTATCTTATAATCTAACTATTTAATAATATCGCCCATCTTAAAGATGATTACTAGCCGTTTTTGTGCACTTTCAGCTTTCATTACACATTATTTACAATGGTTTATAAAAGCATTTTAGGCAAATATGCCACTGGATGTAGTGAATGGCTTGTATCCATTACATGGTATAATATCGCCCCAGCTCCTATTTCTAATGCATTACTGCGAGCACGTGGTAAATTTGGATAGTACTGAACTACTGCTGTATTTTATACATATAAATTTGATCTTTTCAATGATGTCCAAGTCCATTCAATACTCCTCTTCAAATGTCGATATAGTGGTCTCTAAAATATATATAAGGTTTGTATTAATAATAGTACCACTCCCAAAACGAATAAAGTTCAGAAGTATTTATTAATCCTTGTTTGTCCTAAAAATGTAATTTCTTGTTGCAATGTTGACAGTTACTATCATTTTGACAGTTCGTGGATGGACACGTTCTTGAAATGCCTTTTTAAAATCCCTTTTTCCGTTATATTTTCTCTGTTTCGTCGCCAAAAACATCATATTATGTTCGAGCAGCTTTGTATTGATTAATAACAGTTGTTATAAGACAACATATCCTGTTTTATCGTTATTACACGTTTAGGATGTATTTCATAAGTTACTGACGTTTATACATAACCTTATTACTTTGACAGTTCATCTCATAACTCAAAACAAAAATTTCTTATAAAAGATAATATTTTAGATATCAACGAAAATATTAAAGAAAGACTTTATAACCGCAATATATTATATAAAATGAATATTAAATTTTTTTTGAAACACTATAAAGATGCCCAAATTAAATTATGTTTAAAAGAGCTGTCAATTCGAACGTTTCCATTTTATATGAATTTCATTTTTAATATCGCAGTTCACACAGAAATGGTATATAAACAACTTTAACATCGGCTTTGAAATTAATAAGCGCTTCTTAGTAATTTCAACGCAGTAATATCAATTTCACCGTTTCAAACTGTTCGATGAGGTACTTTCAATATTAAATCTGCAATATATCAAGTAATACCAACCTAAATAATTTATTTAATGGTATATTTGAAGTTACATTTTAATTTAAATCAAACATAAAGATTTTGTATGTTTATATTAATAAAGTTATTGCCAAACTACATTTTTATGACTCAATTTGATCGTAAAATGTTGCCATCTATTACCATAAATATGTATTACACGTTTAGTGTCGTTTTCAAAAATCATCTCTAAAAGTATCAATTTTGCAGTTTTATAGACATTTTGGTTTCGTTTTAATAAATGTAATTTATTGAATACAACAAAAATGTGAAAAAAGTTGTCCACAATCAACTACAATTTCAAAATTAAGCATTTTCCCGCCTTTATTCTAAATTACGACTATATTCGCATGAAACCCGAAACGTCTTTATGACAAAGTCATTGTTTAGTGAGGTTATGTAAGATTTTTTAGTTTAATTTATTTAGTACAAGTTATTTAGGCTTTTTTTGTAGTTGTTGTATAGTTTTTTGTGTTTCATTTGCGTAACAACAGAAGATAATTTTAACGTTTTCATAATTATTGTAATGTTTACTTATTAGTAATTCTGTGTTTATCGAGTTGATGGCAATTTTGCAAGCAGTTCAAGAAGACAGAGTCGATTGTGATACACCAAACTTATTTATAACATCTACAAAAATGCAGACGGCAAGAGAATGATCAACAATTGGATTCAGACAGCACAAAATAGAATGGAATGGAACAGAATAGGGGAGGCCTATATCCAACAATGGACGTAGAGGGCTGCTTCATGGTGAAGATTTAAATATTCTAATAGTCAATACATATTTAAGCATTTTTATTTTAGTGTTGATGCTGTGGGTGTTTGAAAGTAATTTTTTTAACATTTCGATATTTCGATAGAATCGCAAAAAAACTTTTCAGGAGTTGTTTGTGGTAAAAAGAAAGTTTGTATATGTAAAGGAGTTTGTATAATATAATCTGTCATCAACCACGGTTGAGGAATTTCACCAAAGACGCTAACCTAGAGTTTATTGTAAGTCAAAAGGAGAAAAACACCTCAAGTTTCATTTTAATTAAAAATTTTAGCACTTTAATTATCCGCAGGATTAAAATTTATAAAGATCGCACCATTTATTTGTTAATTTGAAAGGACAAACTTTAAAAGTAAGCTTATTTATAAGCTGATGGGATTGGTTTTAAGTGTTTTTACTTTATTAATTTACTTCTTATCACAATGTTTCAAGTTTAAAAGTCTTTATATTCTAATTCAGTGTTAAATTTGAATAATAAGATATTAAGTCATGGTTAATGGGCGTGATGAAAAGTATTAAAAAAATTTATAAGATTCATTAATTAAAATACATCTTCTGTATTCTAAAATTAGGATACATTGTATATTGACGCCTCTTGGATTAACGATGACCTTGATATAAGCCTTGCGTAGGACGCGATAATAGTGCGAGTTGGTTAATCTACCAACAAAGGAAGTGATAAAATATAAATAACTCGCGTGACGAATTTCATTCACCGTGAACATTCGCAGTTAAATTGGAATTGCACTTTTCAATGACCAAACCGGGTCGGCGTCTTCTTACGATTTAAGATAACAATTATAAAAAATACTACTATAAAAATAACTGTGACATCATACATTATTTTTATCGTCTCACTTAGAAAAAAACCCAATGGTGACATCGCATTCAGTAAATAGAAAAGTAAAAAGAAAATTAAGTTTGGATTGAGTAAAGAACAAGACTCTTTGATCTCTCTTTCCGTCCAATTAACTCGTTGGGTTTATTGACCTTTTCGCCGATACCGACCCAGAGGAGGCGGTTTAGCAAGAAGAAGGTGATGTTTTTGACCACCATCGACTCGGTCTTCGTTAGAGGTGGTCTTTTCTTCTTCAAGCTGCCGTAACTGGTCGTGGAGGAAGGCGGCGCGACGGCGGCTCTTCTTTGCTCTCAAACGCATACCATCCGGGCCTCGGCAAAGGTGGCCTTGCCTAAGGGCACCTCGGTTTCAAATTCCAACAACCCGGTCGATTCCAAGAACTTTTCGTCTAATCTTTGTAAACGAACGCCGGAAGTGCATTCTTTTCTTTCCTTTTTATTCGCCATTTTGGCGTCGAGTATACGATTAGTGTAGATAAAAAGAGAAAGAGAAACGAACTTTGAGCGTGATTCACGTTGAAACGATGCAAACGTAATTACATATGCCACGTAAAACCCTTTCAGATAGTAGAAGTAAATGTTTACGTTCCCGGTGAGATAAACCCGGGAGGAGGTTAGAGTTGGAGGTAGATCGATTGGCGTTGTTAAATTAAAAGCGTGGATCGGAGTGAAAAGTTGAAAGCAATACGTTCTTTTTTTTTTTTTCGTTCAGTCACGTTTTGCACGTCGCGTCGTCGTCTGGAAACGATAAGAGAAACGGGTTTTGCAAAAGTTGGTCGTCTCAAGGTATCTGTTTATAGCAGGAACCGGATGCGATTACTGATAATGTTCGTTATCTTGAAAAGCTCCACACGATGAGATTACTGACCAAACGGAACTTATGGCAGCAGGATGTTAACACAAAAAGTAGTAAACTAAAACTTCCTAGTGCTTAAAAAAAGATCTTAGTCACTTGTTGCTTGCTTCTAAACTTTTTTAACTCGGTGATTCAACACATCTTGCTTCCATAATTAATTTAGCCTGAAATAAAGTCTTGAAAATCCCCAGTTATATAACGTTGAAGAAAGCTTCTTCTGCAATAACAAATTATGACTCATTTTCTCAATCCAGAAAGAAACCTAATAATTCCATTCACGATGCCATACGGTACAAATGACTGTGTTGGCCAATAGGACAGACTCGGCGACAACGATGATGTGAATCATTAATTAGAATCAAGTTAACCCAAGCCACTGGTATCTGAGTCATTCTTGTGACATTTTAACAGAAATCATTAGAATTTTAGTATGTTATATCATATATGTATGACTTGAAAAATTTATTTATTGAAAAAAAAATGATAAAGATGTAATAAAGAAGTATTTTGAATGAGAGCCTTTGGGATATACTGGGAATTATTGAAATGGTAATAAAAGCCTTTAAAAGCGTCATTGGAGTAACGCAACGCAACTAAAAACGAAAGGTATTAGGAGTAATTAATAGCTATTGGGTGCCATTCATTGATTAGTGACAAATTTAATGTGAAATTTAATTTTTTGTTCAATTTTTAACAAATTTTATCGATTCATAGAAAGTCGGAAGAAAATTTCACAACTTATAAACAAAAACAATCTAGTTTTGTGTGGCGAAATCACTGTTATCATAAATCATTTTTCCTTTTTAGACAAAAATATTTACTTTTAATCGACTTTAATTGATTACTTTTAACTTGAAACTAACATTGAATAGTTTGAATACATGTTTATTCAGAATATCCGAGAATGAGATAATTGTAGAGATAAACTTTTAGACTTTTTTAGAAGAAATTAACCAGAATGATGATGATACTCGGAATTGAGTGTCGAAAAACCGGATACAAACAGCGATAACATGTTCTATGAAGAGAAGAGCAAATTTGAAAATAATAAGTAATAAATTAAGATGACCAGACATTGAAATGTTAAAAACACCTAAGTGACCTTCGAAAGTTAAAATTATCGTAAAAGTTCTACCTGGACTTACAACAAAAACAAGAAACATTAATGGAGGAAATAAATACCTTTTAAGCGATTATCGGCCTAAATATGATAAATGACGTTGTCCGATGCACAAATACGCACATCTACTCTAAACGGTTTCACGATTACAAGGGAACGAGACGTAATGGATAAACGTAATGGATCTGTAATGGAATGGACGTTCGGATACTATTAGTAGTAATTGGTTACAAATGATTTTAAATTTTGTTACATCTTCGATTTGGTAATAAAACATGAAAAACTGACAAGGAGAATTTAGAAGTTGCAGTTTTCTGCAATACACACCCTGCACGGTATCAAATTTTTGATGACTAAACCCGAATGTTTCTAGTTCTAGGGCTAGTGTTAGTTCTACTTTTACACTAGGCTAGGGCTATTTAGCATGAGACAACACTAGAATGTTGCATATTTCTATTGAACTAAAACTAGAACTAACACTAGACCTAGAATCATTCGAGTTTCTAGAACTACCGTCCTTGATTTATACATCGTATAGACAACTAGGGGAATACCCCGAGTTTATCTATGAACATGAAATAGAGCAACTTGAAGAATAAACAGAGTTGGATTCTATCTACTTATGAGCGTTAACGTTTATATTGAAATATACTATGTATTAAATAGATAATATTAATAGTACGATTTAAAAGTATTTTGTCCGTTATGTCAAGATTTTACTGTACTACACAAATATGTAAAAGTAACTCATTCATATGCAAAAAATATTCTAGTACAATAATAACTTGTTTGAATAGCATTCAGATTCATATTTAGTTAGCTGTATTTTGTATGAATATGTATACGTTGAATAATTAATTTTTCAAAAACTATTTGTTTGCAACAAATAACTAAATTTAGACACCGAAATATCTTTTGTTAATTAAAATTCGTTACTTACGTAATGAGGTGCGTTGTGTGGTGGTAATAGCACTCCTGGTGGATGTTGGGTTGAGATGATGACGTGACGCAAGGTACCGTTTTCATCAACGATCTGTTGCACCATGTGTCCTGGAGGAACTTGAACTGGCATTGCCACTGGTGGGGATGAATTCGTTGATACCATTGGAACTGTTACGGGACCTACAAAAAAATTTTTTTTTTTTAATTTAAATTGATTAACAAACAATTACCCAGAAAAAAATCTTGATATATTTTCATTAAGTTTTCTTCGTTAATTTAGTTATTTTAAATCCTAAGATGTTTCTTTTATATTCCTGATAAACAGAAACATGACATAAACTAACAGAAAACTTGACACATAGCATTGACAACATTTTAGACGAAACATTTTATATTTGCATATTTTTTTTTGTTATCGTCATCAATTTGTGCTTAAAATAAGGTGAATGAACTGGTTATGATTATTTAGTTACAATTTATTTGCAATTTGTTTATTTTCCGTGCAAACAAACTTATATGACACCGAGTTTATCTTTATAAGATAACGATTCCTCGTTTGTTGATTGATCGATTTCAATCAGCATTAAGTTAAAGGTAATTATTTATGTTAAAAATAAAAATTTTATTGTTTTAGAGTAGGTAATAAAAGGAGCGCGGAATTAACCAAATAAATATTTGGAAATGATTAAAATTAAAGTTAAGGCCGTTCACATCAACTTAAAGAGGGCGTTTTTATTCCATATAATAATAATATTAATACTCAGATTGTTCACACGGAGGTGCGTATGCACAATAAACCTGAGAACGAAACTACTTTGAACGCAATTCTCACGCTGTCCTAAGCACTTTTTGCTCGTAATCTTCTGCAGGAAATTGTACCTGTTGAAGGAAATCATGAACAAATCACCGATTAAAAAAAACCGTTTTTCCTTTCAGCATTTTATTCGAAAATTTTATTTCAAGTTTTAAATTAAGACGTCAGAATTGTTTTCCTCGAACTTGAGGAGCGTCAGAATTAATATGCACACACTTGACACAGACAGCCGAGAATGTTTTGAGATAATTTAAAGAGGAGAGTGTGTCGGTTTAAATTATAGGCTGTTTGGCCAACGCCGAGCATCTCGCGGACTCCTCCGTTGACGACATTTAGAATGATGTCACCGAGCGAAGTATAAATGGGAGAGTTTGAAACGATGCACTAGTTCCTGCTGCCGTTGCTGTTATGCAGAAATTGGAATGCGAATTCGTGACTCATTCGCTTGGAATGTGAACATTTCAAATGGAAAACCGCTACACAACGCCGACAATTTTTATGAATACTAACCAGCGGCGACACATTCCTTCTTAAACAACACCACACAGAAAGACGTTGTCCACTCCTACACCCACTCCTAAGAAGACTAAGAAGGCGTTATGACCACCTATACATACTTCTTTCTTTTCTTAGAGAGTACTGGTCAAGTTAAAAAGATTAAGTAAAGATGAGAATAAAGAAGTACAATAAGAAAAAGAATCGAATGAAGGAAGAAAAGGAAGGAGGAGTTGTCTTGAGTTCTTCGTGTTGTTCTTCTTCTTCTTCTTTAGGCTTCGGATCTCTCGGTGGAATTCAGTCCGCCGCGCAAAGGTAAGGAGGCCAATAGACCTCGGACGGAGCGGGACGAAGCGCGAGGAGGAAGGTCAACAGCAGGGGACAACGACTTATCCAAGGTCGTCTTCGTCGACGAGCTCTCATCGTCGTCGTCCCGGGTAGATCGATCCTTCTGATGGAACCTCGCCAGAACTTCCAGCAATAATAATCTTTACCACACTTCTTTTCTCATTATGGTGTATTTACGACCATATAAATGATTATCATTGAGGATATTCCAAAATACTAAATACATTACAAAAAAAATCTTTTATTATTAAATACCACTGAATATTTAATTGTGATAATGAAAATGTTATCAGTTAATCTGTTTCTAAAAATGAATACGACGTCAATAAATATCAACCGCGTAAATAATATGATAAATGTGATATAATAGCGCTTTTAACTGTTTAGTAAGAATTAGGTATTTATAATAGAATCGATGTTTGGTTTCATTTTCCAGTCTTATTTACAAGATTAACTTATTCCGTTGCCAGCAAATCTTTCGGAATATATTTCGTTATCTGAAGTTCTATAAATTCCTCGAATGCCAATAGAATGTTTATATAGAAACATTCCGAGCAAATGCCAAACGCCGGTAATTATCGCTTACATGTACCAGCGTTAAAATACCAAAGATTACCTTCCAATTCTAAATGGATGCCAAGAGAAAAAAATTTTTTAATTCATTACGGGTATATAATTATTCGAAAACATTTAGAAACGTAGCAAATATTCAATACAAATTGAATAAACACCATGTATTTGATGTTATTTGCGTTGTATCACGATCAGGTACTCTAGCCAAAAGAAATAAATTATAAGAAATGTGTAAGATATAATTTTAAGAATAAGTTTTATTTATTCTATTGCTGTAGCTGAAATTAATTCTATTGGCTAGTTTCTCAGTCTATTTAAGTATAAGGTAGCCCAATTAGAAGAATCACAAGTATTTTCAATTAGTTTTAAATTACTATTCATAATCTAACTTATTCTGATATCTAAAAATACGAAATTGTTATTGATAAAAAGTATTTTTAACCAATCAGGTGTGGTATTTTTCCAGCTTGATGTGCTAAAGTACTCTTATTTGTAGACACAGCAACTGTATCAGCAACTGGAAGAGAGATAAGTAACAAGAGAATTTCAACACTGTTTTGTATCAACATAATTGAACGGATAGATTAATCTGGAAAAACTCAAAAACCTTGAATTTTATACTATAACTCTATAAGAGATATTGCTTTTTGCAAACATTTTCAATAATATCAAGACCAGAATCAAGTTCAAGAGGAAAAATATGAAATGAACCACTTTGGATCATTAAGCAAAATGGAAATTATTTAGAAATGCACCAACGATCTGAAAAAATCCCCAATTTGAAGTATATGAAAAAATAAATATTAATTATATGGATGCAAACTCGCAATACTACAACTATTTAGTCCGTATTTAATGGAATTACAATTGTTGGTATTGTTTTATACACAATTTGAACTCTATCAATTCTAATGCAAGCAATTTGTAGTTGTAGTACTAGTACCTGGTAAATATAACGATGTTGGTGGAACTGTGCTTGTATAAGCCATCTACCATTAGCATATTCTTGACCTGGTGGACACGAAAGTGTTTTAATTTGACATCTTCCATTAATTAAAATATATCCACTTGAACATTGACATCTTCCATTGATATAAATTGTTGTCCAAACTTCTTGGTGGAGGTGTTGAAGTCCATTGTGTTTCGATTGATGTACTCTTGCTCAATAGAGCAAACGCCATTAACAACTTGATGACCTAGTAATCACAAAGGTGTCGGTGGAATTGTGCTCGTGTATCTAGTTTGACACAATAAATTGCTGACTTCCTTCACAGCTTGGAGCAGGAGTTGTTGTTACTTGACATTTTCCGTTAAGGAATGTATGTATATCCGCTTTGACATTGACACCTTCCATTGGTGTAAAATCTAAGTAACATCTAAGAAAGAGAGAGATTTCGGTTTTTTCGATGGGCGGCAGTCTTAGCAAATATCTGCTATATCTGTTTCCTGAAACAGTCCACCTAGATATACTTTATTCTCCTAATGCAGTTCAATGAGTTGATGTAGTCTGATGAGCTAATATAGCAAGATAAAGAAGAACTGTGTTAGGGGTAGCTCTTTTGATGGAGTTGTTAGGGAAGTGTTTAGTATCCAAGATTGATCTAGGACACAGCTATCCTATCCTCTACTTAGTGGGCAAAGGACGCTATGTTAAAGAACTGTATGTGTGATAGATGTCTACAACGTGGATAAGCTGTCAAAATCCGTTAGAGTTAATAGACAACGGAAGCAGTAAACATTCTGATGATCTAAGAACTCTTCTTAATGTACTCTCAGTGCAACAAAAGTACAACGAGGTTATTTTATGAATGAAAAACTTATATGGTTATGCCCTAGCTTAAGAAATTTACTGATGCTGTTAATTGGCAATAAGATGTAATGAGGTGTTAAACATGTGATCGTTTGGGACAGTAACAGGCGGAATATGTCATTTTCTTTTTGCAATAAAATGTCTGTTTCACAGCCATAGTTACAACGTTATTGGAAACCACCTCATAGTAGGATCCTATGGCTACATCTAGATCAATATACACTTATGTACTGTTAAAATTTTCCTACTTCTAAAGTACGTCTAACAGGTGTGGTAAAAATTTTATAGAATTGTTTGTAACAACTGAAATATTTATTGCGAAATGCTGATGGCGAAAACGAATTAAAGACATAATTAGCGTATAAACACGAAATCGTCTTCCTATGTATCCTAGCTAATCGAGTAACTCTGAAGCAACTTGTTTGCCTATTACATGATGCTACTTAGATACCGAGCTAAATTACTCCTGCAGTTTAAATTAAAACTACAAAATTGATAATGATGTTGCAAAAAATAAAGTTACAATACTACCTCCAATCCTATTTGTTATGCGAATATGATTGTTTTAATTTAAATTAAAAACTGAAAATTTCTGAAAGTTTCAGAGTATATTCTCAAAGTCAAAACAACCACTCGATGTTATCCATACATTCCCTTCCGGTGCATCTATTTTTAAAACCTTCTATACATAGCCCACTTTATCTATATTTAGCGTAGACACGTACGGTTGGCAGTAGTTTTATTTCAGTCGTTCCGACCTGGTTCCCGATATCCCGCGTGTAAACAGTCTTTGTGTTGTCCTGTCCCACATTTCGAATCCCTCTCCTCCCATTTGCAATTCCCAGTATTTCAAAAAATCCAGTCCCAACACCAATTTTCTCTGGGTATAGTTTTCCCGGCGTGGTTTTGGCAAACCAGGAATTTACCCAGAAACATAAACTTTCGTCATGCACAAAGTGAGTCAGTCAGCTGTTTAGTTAGCGGTTAGATTCATCTTCTGTAAACGGAGGGAGGGGGCTAACTGTTAAAGTAAAGCTGTTTCGTTTTATAAATTCTGTTCGGTTTGCTATAGAGAAATTTTATTTAGAGACGGCATTTGAAAAGTTTTTAGAAAGTAGGGGAACACTCGGTGAACAGCCG